GCCCCCCCTCTCTCTCTGTACTAGTGAGCCCCCCCTCTCTCTCTGTATTAGTGAGCCCCCCTCTCTCTCTGTATTGGACATTGTTTACTGAGTGGGAACTAACTTGTGATGAATAATTTTTGAGCTGTTCATCTGCTGTAACTTACATCACTCATGCTCAGGCAGCAGGCTGGCTGGGCGAGCATGATAAGAGATGGGATATACAGCACTTTCAGTTCCTAAGGTTATCCCTCTGTGTCTAAAGAGCAGCAGTTGGTAATAGTTCAGAGGGCAAAGAGGTTCAGTGTTTTGGAAGACAAGAGGTGTACCAAAAGTTATCGGTCAATCGGAATGGCATGGACTTTTTGGGCAAATAGCAATGGTGTAAACATCTAATGCAGTGACACATGGTTAGTACTGCCTCAAAGGACATAGTCATTTAAAGTATATTAGTGTTTATTCATTGACAGCATTGTCTGTTCATGACCTCACGGATTACCTCTAAAATAGAGGTAAGTGTCCCTCTTCTAATCGTTGCTTGTCACCCTGCCTATCCAAAGAATTGTTCATAATACAGACTAAGGAACAGCGCTGTGAGCCTGACTTCCATGCTTTTTCAATTTGTTTACATATGTGGAATAAAGTTTTGATTTACCGTTAAGCTGGTGGTGAGTCCACATAATTTCATCTATGCTCACACTGTTGGGTGGAAATTTTGATTGCGCACCTATATATTAGATTTAAATATGAGGATTCAGTTCCACCATATGACCATATTGTGTTAAGCCCACCACTCCTCCGCAGTGATGGAAATCTTATTATCCAAGTCAGGGGTATTCAGTAAAGTGGGAATTGTCCGAATGAAATTCATATCGCTCAACACCCTGTAGGTGCGGCCGGGTACAGGAAACTGAAGCTCCTGTACCGCGGTTCACTGCGCTCAGCGACGCTACAAGAGAGATAATGAGACATACCAGGGAGGGGAGAGAACCGCTAAGGAGGGGGTGGGGCACACACACTAAAGGACAGGGAGGGAGAAAGGGGAGAGTAATTTTGTGAATTTACCACTTAATATAAAAAAAAAAATTGATAAAAAAATATTAAACAGTAGATTTGTGTAGAAATTGTTTTTCTTTTTTTTTCAAAATGGTAAATATACACATTATCGGTAAGTTTATTCTGACTGGCATGTCTGTTTTGTGAATTTACCACTTAATAATAATAATAATAATAATAATAATAAAAATAAAAAAAATTGCTAAAAAAATATTAAACAGTAGATTTGTGTAGAATTTTATTTTTATTTTTTTTAAATGGTAAATATACAGAGTATCGGTAAGTTATCGGCCTAAAAGTTCACAGATTATCGATATCTGCTCAAAAAAAAAACCTGTATGATGTGAATCACCAAATAAATCCACAATCAAATTTTTATATATAATGTGGTATTGCACCCAGGCATTATTTTTTATTGAGCAGTTATTTTCCTAAGGAAGAGTGCCGAGCTTGACCTGGTTTTTGTGTGTGTGTATATAATTTTTTTTAGCTTTTCTTGAAAAAAGCTAAAAAACTGGTCTGTTACTTTGCATGTTTTGCTTTTGAATTCATCCCTTTTTCCCCCTCTTTATTTCTCCTTGCTTTTATTCTAGGTATTTGATATAATGCAAGACAATGTCAGTAGTCGCTGTTCTTATAATTATTTAATAAAAAGTTTGGACAAAATACAGGGGTTTCCCTGGCAACCATAGCCACCCCATTCTCTAATGTGCTTGTTGGGAATAATACACTTTGCCTATGTTTACCCACGTATTAAGATACAGATGACCGGCTGGCCAGTCATGACATGTCATGATTCCCTTTTATTCCAGAAGCTTGCTATAGGTTAAGATGTTAAGATAAGATAGATGATTTTGTTAGGATTGGATAATGCTTGTAAGACCACCCATGTTTCCTCTTGAACATAAACTGTTACACAGCTGATTAAACGCTCAGAAGTCACTTTGAATCTTGTCTTGTATTGTTCATTGGGGCTCCTTGTCTGCTGGTTTGGGGACAAGGAGAAATACAAAGAGTTCCAAGTTGCTTAGAAGTCCATGGCATGACATAAAGGAAAATTCCTGACACAGGAAATCTTTACTAACCGTGCTTAAAAGCAATTACAGATACTGGATCCTTGGCCCCAATGTACAATAAATGCTAGAGTAGACTGTAGGGGTTATGATGCTTGATGTGTCAGTTACGATTTTTATAAACATTATAGAATGCTATTTAAGTAGATTAACAAGGGACAGGTGGGCACACCCATTGAGACAGTCGTCACCATTAGACTAGGTAAATGAATGCAAGTAAGTGTGCTCACTTCAAAAGCCCCATTTCCAAAAGGCTATACATATATAATACTACAAGGAGGAGCACAACCAAGTAAAATGCAAAAAAGCTTTATTACACAAAAAAACACGTATAACATGCATCAACATAGATATCAAAGAATTAGAAATGCAGAAACATCTGTCCAATATGCTAACAATGACTGCAAGTAAAGCAAAATAGAAAAAAATGATTAGAATCAAAATGATCCAATAGAAGTGGTGTAGCCACTTATCCAGAAAAACAGTATTCTGATACCTGTATATACTGATAAACAAAAATATACATTCCAAAGAAAACCGGAAATATGAAAAGAGGGTACAGACATCAAAATACAAAAAACAGCCCCCAACGTTTCGGCGTTATCCACCTTTATCAAGGGAGTATCCCTTGATAATAAAGCTTTTTTTTTTTTTTTACTTGGTTGTGCTCCTCCTTGTAGTGTTATGTTATTTAAGTAGGTCATGTAAAAAAATAATTTAGCAATAGATGTTAAGTTAATCCCCAAAAGGAAACTCCCCATGAAGTGCTCTTTTGCAATATGGAATTATAACCTGATTGGCAATGTAAATTAGGACGAAGACAGCTTGCTTCTTATATTTTTTTTTTTTTCTTCAAATTCAGCAAATTCCCTGAATACAGTGACATGGGAAATCAGGTGATAAGTGAGCCATTTCGCCATCTTGCTTTTCTCTTTGTCTAACATAATATCACTGAATGTCCCTATTTTCTCTTTTATGACATTCTTTCAGATTTAATCTACATAAATAAGTCAAAGATTTCCATAACCCTAGCCTTTTCATTTCATTGCAGGTGGATATGTTTCCAACAGCCTTGCAATCATGACGGATGCACTTCATATGCTTACTGACCTTATCAGTATTATTCTGACTTTGCTTGCATTGTGGTTGTCGGAAAAGTCTCCAACTAAACGTTTCACTTTTGGATTCCACCGCTGTGGTACGTATGTGCTTTGACATTACCCTAGCAGATTAAGTAAAGTTTCAGTAGGTTAATAAAGTTAGCAGTTTAGTGGTATTGAAATAATCCCTGGCTAGTAGTAAGGGGTAACCCTAATGTTACCAAAAGCTGAACAGAGAAAGTGTATACTATTCCAGATAGGCAGTTAGTAGATAGATAAAACTTGGCTTTTATTATTCTAATTAATTAGTTCAGAGCCCCGACGTGCGTTTCGCCAGTCAGGTGACTCTTCAAGAGCCACCTGAACGGTGAGACCCGCGTCGGGGCTCTGAACTAATCTCACCTTGTAAAAACTACACTGATGCTGATCGTGATTTTACATAACATTTAGTGAATGCAGCATGATAACCCCCCCTACCAAGTTGTCTTTGGTTTAATTCGATATTACTAGATGGTTAGTAAGATTTAATTTGATACATGATAGTACAGGTGCCCTCGAATGCACAGTTTAGTTTCAGGGTTACCTGGGTATCACTGCACTTTATCTGAGGACTTTCTGGCTATCTAGTCTCTCAGTATTTTGCAGCATTTAAAAAAAAAAAAAAAAAAAAAAAAAATTTCTTTCTAGCCAGTTCTCTATTTTAACAGCTTAGTCGATTTGCCGTCCTTTTTTGTGACATACAGATTGCTCTGTCTCTGTAACGTGGTATGATTATACCTTCAAGGCACTATCGAGACCAATATTGTCACTATAGACATTGCTCTTTCAAAGTCGGCTAGTCTGTATTCACTACACTGCTCTTAATATACTACAACTATTGAGATTGTTTAGATAGCACTTTGCCACATTGTATCCAACTCTTGTATACCATTGGATAGCACAGTGCTCTATCTACCATGTTAATCCGAAAATAAGACAGTCCCCAAAAATAAGCCCTAGCTTATTTTCGAAGGATGCTCGTAATATAAACCCTAATCCGAAAATAAGCCCCAGGTGCTAATCTATGTTTGCTAATAATGGCATGTGTACATAACTACACCTTACTTTGTACTGTTCCGTAAGCTGAAGTGGGGGTTCTCAGACTGTCAGGATAATTGAAAGCATGCTTACCCCTTTCTGTCATGTATCTTTCTCCAAACATTTCCTCTTCTCTTACTCTCTTTGAATCTGTTCTTCATTTCAGTTCTTTTTCATTAGGGACCACTTCATCCAATGTGTTTTTCCTCTGTTTGACAAAGCTTGAAATTAGGTTGAAACTTAAGGCAAGCTCCTCTTCCTTGACACTATAGTTACCAGAACAACTACAGCTTAAAGGACCACTATAGTGCCAGGAAAACATACTCTTTTTCCTGGCACTATAGTGCCCTGAGGGTGCCCCCACCCTCAGGGTCCCTGTCCCGCTGAGCTCTAAGGGGTGGAAGGGGTTAAACTTACCTCTTTCTCCAGCGCATTCAGCCGGTCCATAGGAAAGCATTCACAATGAGACAGCCACTAGAGGCTGGATTAATCCTAAAATAAACATAGCAGTTTCTCTGAAACTGCTATGTTTATAGAAAAAAGGGTTAACCCTAGCTGGACCTGGCACCCAGACCACTTCATTAAGCTGAAGTGGTGTGGGTGCCTATAGTGGTCCTTTAATGGAGTTCTGGTGAGCATAGTCAGTCCCTGCAGGTATTTCTATACAAACGCTGTCTTTTCACAGGACTTTCCTTTAGAGATTAAATGCATCTCTATGAGGCGATGCTGATTGGCCTGTGTCAGAGCCACTTTAAAGGACCACTATAGTGCCAGGAAAACATACTCGTTTTCCTGGCACTATAGTGCCCTGAGGGTGCCCCCACCCTCAGGGACCCCCTCCCGCACGGCTCGGGAAAGGGGTTAAAACGTACCTTTTTCCAGCGCTGGGCGGGGAGCTCTCCTCCTCCGTTCCTCCCATTCGGCTGAATGCGCACGCGCGGCAAGAGCTGTGCGCGCATTCAGCCGGTCGCATAGGAAAGCATTTGCAATGCTTTCCTATGGACGCTTGCGTGCTCTCACTGTGATTTTCACAGTGAGAATCACGCAAGCGCCTCTAGCGGTTGTCAATGAGACAGCCGCAAGAGGAATTGGAGGAAGGATTAACCCATTTGTAAACATATAAAAAAAAAAATGGGTTAATCCTAGCTGGACCTGGCACCCAGACCACTTCATTAAGCTGAAGTGGTCTGGGTGCCTAGAGTGGTCCTTTAACTCACAGGAGTAGGCCATACACAAATCTCTAGCTGTCAGAGGATGATGGATGCAGTTCTCCCATATCTGGGTGGCCTTAAGTCACCTTCGCCGGCGCTGGGCGGGGAGTTCTCCTCCTCCGATCCTCCTTCTCTCCTCCCCGTCGGCTGAATGCGCACGCACGGCAAGAGCTGCGCGCGCATTCAGCCGGTCACATAGGAAAGCATTCATAATGCTTTCCTATGGACGCTGGCGTGCTCTCACTGTGAAAATCACAGTGAGAAGCACGCAAGCGCCTCTAGTGGCTGTCAATGAGACAGCCGCTAGAGGAAATAGGGGAAGGCTTAACTCATTCATAAACATAGCAGTTTCTCTGAAACTGCTATGTTTATTAAAAAATGGGTTAACCCTAGAAGGACCAGGCACTCAGACCACTTCATTAAGCTGAAGTGGTCTGGGTGCCTAGAGTGGTCCTTTAACTGTGAAATCATGCATAGAATTCATTAGGGAATTCCGAATCTGAGGCCAATATAGCCAGACTTCAAAATTCTACAACTGACCATGGAATTACCAAGGTTAGGCCAAAGTTAGAGAATTGGCATAACTCCCCATCTCCTCTTATGTCCAACTTGGCTATTTTGGTCTACAATGTGAAATACACTGGCACTTGCAGGGAAATCCAAATTTAGTAAATAACTCCATATGTATAAAATGTGTAATCTAAAAAAAGATAAGGGTCTGGTCAAGGAGAGGCCCAAATCACCATAGCTTGAGTTTGTGGCATTTGTGGTTATGGTAATCTATTCTAAATGTCATTTTCATTTTCTGTTGCAGAGGTCATGTCCGCCATTATCAGCATGATGCTGGTGTATGTGCTTACAGGTATCTTGTTATATGAAGCAATTCAGCGTACTATTCACATGGATTATACCATTAATGGAGATGTGATGCTAATAACAGCAGCCGTGGGTGTTGCTGTGAACCTCATGTAAGTTACAATTAACTGAAATAATTCATAGAAATGGGTAACAGTTATAATATATATATATATATATATATATATCTCTATCTATCTCCAAATAGGTAGCTGCACTCACGGTTAATAAAAAGTCAAAATTTTATTGCAAAAAGGTTAAAAAAAACAGCGATCAACGTTTCAGTCCTATAAGGACTTTCTTCAGGATCAAAATTAAACATATATAAAAAAAGATACTTATTTGCGTGCATGCATGCATGCATACAGGACTTAACATGTAAAGTCTTATGCCACTAGCCAGGCCTTAAACATTACTTGCCAATGCAACTCATAGCATACCCACCAGTGGTGAATTTCTGCTGGGATTGGACAAAAGTTGACAGTGGAGCTCCACCTTTTATCAACATTATTATATAATGATTGCAACAGAACAGCTTTAAATGCATTGGGAAAAACTTCTCCAAGCTTATGGGTTTTTCTACTTATGAGAAAAAGTAGGGCATGGCACAAAAATGTTGGCATCAACACAATGCAAATAGCAGTTAACGATTAATTTAACTTTTCAAACTGGTAAACCCTGAAAAGAAACGTTTAACTACCAGCACAGTTCTTCTCAGAGATCTTGTTTGATCATGTCTTTTTTTTTTAGGCAGACCATAGAACAGGGCTCGGCTAAACACAATTTACACATACAAAAGATGACGAGGGCCCTGCCCGTGAGCTGCCCATGAAGCAGAAATACAACTTGATGTGTCTTATGATGACCATTCTCAGCCGGAACTGTGTGTTTTAACTGCAAGTTTTGCCATATGCTAATCCAATCTTTTTAAATAGTTTACTCATTTTCTGGAAAAGGGAAATTAAAGTTAGGTATTAGGTAATTCATGGTTGTTGTACAATATATTCCAGGGGTATTTGCACAGGATTGTGAAACGGCAATCACACCCAATGTGTGTCTTCATGATTACAGTGATTCCCCACAGTTATCAGTCAGGAGAAGCATAACGTTCTTAACCCCTTAAGGACCAAACTTCTGGAATAAAAGGGAACCGTGACATGTCACACATGTCATGTGTCCTTAAGGGGTTAAAAAGCTTTGGTGGCACAATTGCTGCAAGAAAAGTGTTAACATACATTGCATTATCTGGTTTTGAAAAGAATATGCTTTTATGGGGTTAATTTTAATGAGTAGGCTGCTATACTGCCTGTCTTGGCATGGGACCCAAAATTTGCTTTATTGTAACATGGTCAGCAGGCCAGGATAACAATAAAACACAATATGAACACTTAGAAAGGATCTTGTTCAGCATTCTGTGTTTCACACACCAGGGGCCTGACAGCACGTTCTGTGTTTATTCACTGTGAATAAATTCTCTTTCAATCTCCTCCCTCCTGCATTCAAATTTGTATAGAAACCTTCAAACCCGACCCCTTGTTGTGAATCTCTCTTTGCTGTCCCTGTTTAAGATCACTAACCAAACTAACTTGTATATGATACGTAAGTGCCTCTCCCACCTCTCTTTAATGGATCTTATAGATGCCATTTTAAAAGGAACATTATAGTGTTTGGAATAACATGTATGTGATGCTCCGCTATCAAGTGCGACTCTGCTTCACTCATTAGAGCTGACAACACTAGACTGACACTGGTGAAAACCGTTCTTAAACAGTTTGACTACTTTCTTTGGGGGGCTGCCAGGGCATTCCTGCAATGATAATTACTACAGTGAAGATCGAAAATGTTTGTTTTGATTAAAATGCTTAAAGGGACACCACGGGGCTTGACTGCCAAGGAAGCCAGACTTGCTTTGCAAGAGCTCCTGCATCTGGCCCTGATAAATCGTGATTTACACCTGGGCCACCCATTAATCAGACCGCAATAAGCACTCATCTTGTCAAGGGGTCTTCTGTGCACCGAAGGATACCCATTGTGAGCCTGCCTGGCCTCGGCACATCCTGATTGTGGCTTGCGGCCTACAGAAGCCGGAGGGGGTTATCCTGGTATCCGCTGACTGACGCCTCTATCGACTATACATAACTACCACCCCACAACTCTTGATCGCGGCTGACTCACCTAAGAAGGTGGACATGCTTCTGCTCCACCAGTCTGGTCTGAAACAGCCCATTGAGACACGATGAGGCGCTGCTGAATACATGCAGGAGCGCTTGGATGCGATCTTCGCTGGCTTCTGGGCCAAATTGGAGGCTCGTATTAGAGCGACACCTAATCAATCTTCTGAGGGATAGCACCCCAAAGAGCTACCCTACACACCTGCTGAAGGCCAAGCGGTTTCCGGGGTCATCCTGTTACACGACACGGCATGTAAAAAGCACCATAGAACATTATCAATTGTTGTATGTGGAGCTAACCCATTTCGTTAGTTGTACTATCATGTAGGGATTTACTTATCCATATCTTTTAACTATTGACAGCACTGGTTTAGCAGTAGTCTTATCTCCCCCCCTCTTGTTACAGCTATTAGTGATATATAATACAGTATCACTTCTATTATTTGGACATACACTGATGTTATATTGTAGCAAACAGTATGCTTTTATGTATACTCTTTTACAGCTTATATAAGTAGTCACAGAGTTTTACTTGCTGTATAGTCTCCACCCATTCCTGCTGTTCATATTATTTTTCATATTATTTTAGATTTATTTATTAAAAGTTACTTTTTAAGACTATAATCTTTTCAGCAAATCATACACCGGTAGAATGGCATTTTTTTTTTCATTTTTTTGTTTATTCTCTATGACACTATAGTGTTCTTTAATTAGTAATATGTTGTGATAATTGGTAAAACCACATTAAAATCCTCTGCCTATGATGTAATCCCAGAATTGGAGTAAGTATAGTTGCTTTTCACTTTAATTATCTTGAGAATAGTGTGAATGACAGGGATTCAACAAACCTGGAAGCATGGAACAAGGATTTTGATCCATACTGTCTCGGAAGCATAATTTAGTAGTTCACACTGCAGACCTCTATTTTTTACCTCATCCCCAAAAGCACTTTACTGTATGAAGTTTAAGAACTTGCAGGTTATTAGAGTTGTAAGGAATTACAGTAGTTGTTGTTGTGAAACCATCTCGAGATGATGGTGCATTGTCCTGCTGGAACTCTCTATTGGAAAAAATTGGCATGGGGCTAAGAAACCAGGCAACATTTTAATTAGCAACACCCACAGACACTCACCTGCTTAGTTTGCCTTACCTTCATACACTCATTTATAGGGACACTACAGTCACCAGAACAACTACAGCTTAATGGAGTTGTTCTGGTGTCTATCACTTGTCTTTGTAGGCATTTTAATGTAAACCCTGCCTTTTCACAGACTACCTTATGATGACCCTTCTCAGCTGGGACTGTGTTTTATTAACTGCAAGTTTCATAGAAGAGGCAATGTTTACAGTCACGATCACTCAGACAGCCACTAGAGGTGCTTGCTGGGAGACATTGGGAGACGCTCAGCATGGAGACATTGAACTTACCCCATAGAGATGATCTCTGTGAGGAGATGCTGATTGGCCAGTGTGGTGTTTGGCTCTACTTCCCACCCTGCCATCTTGACCGAGATCAACAGAATTGACGATCTAAGCAAATCCAATGCTTTTATGGATTGGCTGAGTGTGTCAATTCTCATGAGGTCATCTAAAAAGGCGGATCAGGAGCGGAGCCAAGACCAGTGGAACCACACAGTGTAGGAATAAAGATAAATTTTTACTCTATTTAAGGGGCAGCCACCTAAATAGAGGTTTTTAACACTATAGGGTCAGGAATACACGTTCGTACTCCTGACACTATACTGTTCCTTTAATATGTTATCTCTAACTCGTACTTGATTAACCACACTTACATCTTAGACTGCCCTGGCCAAGACCTGGCTAGAATTTAATGCCAACAAACTAATTGCCATAATTCAGTGATTGCGTGTGCCTCTTCATTGCATATGTCTTTCCGAAAACGTTTGACGTGTGCAGTTTACTGGGTTGAGTTTAAACAGAGCTGACCAACAAAAATTTGTTTATTACTCAATAAATTCTTCTGTTGAGTTACTGAAGTCCCATGACTGTTATATTTTTCCTTTATTGTTTTAAATATTCTGCATTTTGTGGCAAGTGTATAAATGACCTAGGTATTTCTTTGCTTGTTGTTTTTTATCTCTAACTTCTGCCTCCATCACCATACTGACCATATTATTTCATTGTTTACAGAATGGGCGTTTTGTTAAATCAAGCAGGACATCTTCATTCCCATTCTCACAGTCCCACGGTTCAGACTCACAGCCACCAAAGCCATAGTCACAGCCACAGTGGTGGCAGCCTGGCAGTACGAGCTGCATTTGTGCATGCGCTCGGAGATCTTGCTCAAAGTGTTGGCGTACTTATAGCTGCTTACATAATTAGATTCAAGGTAAGAATACCTTTCCTGTAGAAGGTACTCCCATTAATTATTTACCAAACTCTTCACTAGATCAGAGCCACAAACCCATCAGAATTGGAAATTGTGTATTCTCAACTGTGTTGTGCTCAAAAGAAAGACGAATAATAGAGTAGTAAAACTAAGCTTATCATACTGTACAAGATATGATGTGTACTTTTACAGATCTATGGTGTGCACTTTTTGTCTCTCTCTTTGTGTTTCTTCTTTAGTGACATATAACAACATAGAATGTGATGGCACAAAACTACCACAACAAGAGGACATAGTCTTAAATTAGAGGGGCAAAAGTTAAAAAATATCAGGAAGTATTACTTTACTGAGAGGGTAGTGGATGCATGGAATAGCCTTCCAGCTGAAGTGGTAGAGGTTAACACAGTAAAAGAGTTTAAGCATGCGTGGGATAGGCATACGGCTATCCTAACTATATGTTAAGGCCAGGGACTAATGAAAGTATTTAGAAAATTGGGCAGACTCGATGGGCCGAATGGTTCTTATCTGCTGTCACATTCAATGTCTACTGCACCACCCTGATCTATTATTTTAGTTACCTAATCAAAAAAATCAATAAGATTAGTTTGGCATGATATCTCTGATGTAAACCCATGTTGTCTCTGATCTTGAAATCCATGCGATTTTTAGATGTTCAACAATCCGATACTTTAACATGGTTTCCATTACTTTCAAAATCAGGATTATTCATTAAAGTGAAACTATAGTCACTTAATGTAGTTGTTCTGGTGAGTATAGTCTGTCCCTGCAGGCAGTTTCATGCAAACACTGTTTTCTTTCACAAAAAGGCAGTGTTTACACTCCTCAGGTGGCCACATTGTGCAGCACTGCCATTTAGCGCCTCTACCCTCTGCATTGAGATATTGAGTTTTCCTCATAGAGATGTATTGGTTCATCTTGAATTTTTATTCACACCATAACCTCCATATATCTACTCATCCAATGGCATTGTGAGTACTTTTTTAATTTAGTTTTTTTTCCTGCTGTATACTTTGAGCAAGCACCACTTTGGTAATTTTACAGTAACATATCTTGCCCCTATTTTTTTTTTATTATTTTTTTTATCAGTCTGCCTGCCTGTCTGTAGCTGTACCATGGTGTTGATCTCCCTAACTCACTTGCAGCCTAACCATATCATTCCATCTTAAAAATGGTCATCATCCCTTTTTATTATGCAGTGCAGCAGTGGGTTGCACTCTACAAATAATCATCAGAAAATGTTTAGAAAATTATTCTGTATTTGTTGTTTTTCTAAAGGTCAAATTAATCTAAAAGAACTAAAAAAATCCACACTTTAAATTAAAAGGTTCCTATAGAATGTGTCAAATGTCTTGTTTGAATGAATTTGTCTATATGCACATATCACACCATGTTTGTTGCTTCTTCTTGGAACGGCGTGAAGTAGTCCACAATATACTGTATGTTTTAGATCTATGGGCCTTTCCAACATTGTCAGGAAAAGCATGGGACTCATTGCCTGTTTGCATTACAAGGTATCACATATGCCTTATTTGAATTGCTTTCTGACAAAGAAGGTTTTTGTTTTGGTAAAAAACCTAACATACAGATGATTGAGAAAGAAAAACCCTAAAGATTACCATAAGAGCATTTCCCCTCCCCCCCGACAACAAGTAAGGGAAAAAAACAAAAGTATCCTAAAAGTAGCAAAGCAAAAGAAAGTTCTGACTCGAAATTAGTATTGAATGAATGAAAGAATAAATGGTTCCAGAGGAAATCATCAGTTTGGGCCAGAGAAGGGAAACAGGTGATTCAACAGAAATGTAAAATATCTTAGAGGCCTTAAAGGGGATCTGTCACTTTGCAGGATCTTTATTACTATGTCTACGTATCCCTATAGTTACTAATATGTATTTGTGAGATGTCTGAAATAACATGAAATGCAGAAATCCTCACCTATTTATCCTGTAACTGTGTGCCCCTGTCAGTCACTGTTAGCTCAGTCCTTTTGCGCTTGGCAGTCAGCATACAGAGAAGAGGAGAAATTAAACAATGTTTCTGTTCTTCTTTGCAAAATATGTGCCGGGCCTGAACTGGATTGTGATGAATTCTACTAAATCTTTAATATAGGTTTAAAAGAAAACAGAACATTACAATTAAGATATTTTGCAATATTTTTGTTTTGAATGGTGGTCCTCCTTTAACAAAGCAAAAAAGGGCTATTTTTTTTGTATTATTATTATCATTACTATTATTGATATTTATATAGCGCCAGCATATTCCGTAGCGCTTTACAATATTTGAGAAAATTACAAAGACTTACAGGAACAATAGGTTGAAGAGGACCCTGCTCAAATAAGCTTACAGTCTATAGGAGGTGGGGCTTAAAACACAACAGGACAGGAAATAGCAATCAAACAAGGTGAGAGTGAAGCAGAGCTGGAGGAGAGAGGAGAAGCCAGACTGAAGTGGGTCAAGGAGAGGGTTTGAATTGAGGAAGCAAGTCAGACGAGTAAAGACCAGTCTTTCCAGAAGTTTTGAGGAAAAAGGGAGCAGGGATATGGGACAATAGCTAGAAGGGGAGGAAGGGTCAAAAGATGGTGTTTTTTTTTTTTTTTTTTTTTTTAAGATGGCACAAGGGGAGAGAGATCTGATAAGGTGAGACTGTACAGGATCAAGTGGGCAAGTGGAAGGTCGAGAGAAAAGGAGAAGTGCAGCCACCTTGTTCAGTAGCCTGTGAGTAAAAGGTAAGGAAAGGCATGACCTAGGTGTGGTTGAGAAAGAGAGGGGCAAGGTGGGGAGAATTCTTCCCTTAGTTGTTCAGTCTTGTCGGTAAAGTAGCATGCAAAGCTATCGGCTGTAAGGTTAGTTTGGGGGGTGGCCACAGTAGGGCAAAGAAGGGAGTAAAAGGTATTTAAAAGACGCATGGGATTGCGGGAGCATGAGCTAATGAGGGAGGAAAAGTATGACTGTTTGGCAAGGGCTATGATGTATGAACACAACATGAATTTGTAGTGGAGGAAGTCAGACTGGGTGCGTGACTTCCTCCAGCAGCGTTCAGCAGAACGGGAGCATCTCTGCAGGTAGTGTTTTGGTTTAGTGTGCCACGGTTGGGGGCATGTTCTCATCAAGGTGCATGTTTGGGGCGGGGCTGCAGCATCCAGGGCAGAGGTGAGGGTAGTTTATATGAGAAGATGGCCAGTGAGGGACAGGAGAAAGTAGGTATGGATAGACGTTGGGAATAAATATTAGCTGATAACTGCTGGAGGTCCATATAATTCAGATCATTTGTAGATAGTTAATTGTGCATAATCTGAAAAGAGAGGGGTGAACATTTTAAGAGTAGCGTAAGGATTTTTTTTTTTTTTTTTTGAAGGATCTGTTAGGAACCTCTTTTGTGTAACACACATCAGTGTTTCTCAACTTTTTATCGAGAAATACCTCTGCAGTTGTAAAAATAATTCCTAAGATCCCCTGCCTAGAGAATGTAATTACGATTAATTTAAATTGCGCGCATACGAATATTTAAATTAATCCCATATTGTGTAACAAGCCGAATTAAAATTAGTAAAGAATATTTTAAAACTAAATATAACATAACGTAAATATTGTATATGTAAGGAGGAGTTTATGATCTATTAATCTGAAGTATAAAAGTCACAAAATGAAAATATTACACACATTGTTAAACATGGACGCACACATTTACACACAGAGGACGCTGACACACACTCACAAATTATTATTATAAATATTTTTATTTAAGTCCACTCAGCCTCCCTACCTTTGGGAGAGCTGGAGCGGATCCTTTCCTTGGAGTCTAGTGTGGCTGTTATCATCTTCATTGTCTTCTTGCTTTGCTCCCTTGTGAGCTGTTTAGTGATGCCGGAGTATTGTCATAACTTGGCTTCCAGCATCACCGTAAGTGTACTGTGCGCGCGAGTGGAAGATCAGATATTACAACTCCCTCACCATTCAGTTATAGCCTTCCCATGGACACTGTATTTGGGCAGAGTAGGCACTTGTAATCTGGCTCCAGGGAGGTCCCTAAGGTGGCTGTTAAAGGCATATCCCCTGCTGTTGGTGCATGTACCCCATGGGTTACCCACACCATAGGTGGAGAAACCAGGACACACATTGACACACTCAACAGTCATGATAATACAAATAATGACTTAAGTTTGTTACATCAGAAATATGCTAACTAGATGGACCCTTATCTACTGTCAGCATTGACGTTTATATATGACATAGTGCGTGACATTCTAAAGCCACAAAATGCTGATATTCTGCCGATCTAGATTACATTGATATTTTCTGTTTCAAAGATACTTGCTCACATGTACATCTATTTACATGCAAAGAACATTTGGCTCAGCCTTGTGTTATTTTGTTATATTGCAGTACTAATTTAGCTCATTGTTTTGTCTTTCAGCCAGAGTACAAGCTTGCCGACCCAATCTGTACATATGTATTTTCTATACTTGTCGTTATTACTACTTTGAGGCTAATACACGATACATTTCTCATACTACTTGAAGGTAATGCTTGTTTGCAGATTCAAATTTTGCTCCTGAAATGTTTTATTCTGAATACTCGTCCATTCTCTTTCTATATAGGTATCAGTGCATATTTCTGGTCCTAATTGCCACTGACTACATTTTTGGGGGCTATTCTCTAAATAAGAAAACATTGGCAATTGACTAGGAAATAGTAAACAATGAACCAAAATATCTGTATATGAGAATTTTCCCAGCATGGCTATTTTGACCTAGTATGTAGAAACCCCCTTAAAATGCACTGTTATTTCAATATTGTAGGTGTGGAAATGTATGTATTGAAAGGTCTGTTTTATGAGCAGCAAATGGATATATTAAAATATTAAAGGCTCTAAGCACCAATCAACTGCATCTTAATTTAGTGGTTTTGGTGCATAGACCCTTTCCTTTTTCTTTGTTTCATAAAATGTTTGTCTTTAGTGGCTGTCAGACAGACAGACAACCCACCATGGGCTCTTCTACACAAAGACTGTGTATAACACATAATGATGCTAAATGCATTCAGTGTGTTGAATTCTGTGTTTCTCAATGAGAAGCAAATGGTGTTTTGCAATGCATGTGCTGTAAGTATTAAGTGCATTAGATTGGGCCAAGATCTTCAGTGTTAATAATTACATTGAGGGGTGGGAGCAGCTGCTGTGAGGATATTATTGCAGTGCTAGTTTACAGGTTAGATGTATGGCTTTTTTTTGTTTGAATTACAACTGGGATGGGAAGAACACACTAATTTATCTATTTTTTTTTAAAGTGCTCCTTTAAAGGAACACTGCAGTGTTGAGAATCCTATACCCCTGTATAGTGCCCTAGTCCTTATTTAGAATAAACCCCCTCACCCACCCAAACATTTTTCCAGCACTGACACTCCATGTTCAGATCCAAAAGGAACATTGTGGATATTATGCGTAGCAAGCACCGCATGCATCCATTCAAGTGCTTCATATATGAAAGCATCAAATGTATTGCTTTCCTAAGAGCTGCATTTAAAGATGTCACCATCCTCATGGACTTCGAACGTCACATGACCAGGTTTCACTTGGGTGTTGCCTCATTCGCTTCTTGCGACTGTCTACAAAATACCAGCAATTTACATTAAAACAACAGGGCGGCTACTGCTCTCAAACTACTCCATTAAGATAAAGCGGTTGGGGCACATTGAGTAGTAATTTAAAGATTATACTCTGTTTACAGTAGGTGTGTTGAGTGAAAGTCATGCATGCCACAGTACATGCAACTGCATATAGAGTATTCTGGCATTGAATTGCAAATATTAGGTAACATATGGTAAACAAAATTGTAGCAGCATTTAGTGCATATTCCCCTTCACATATTATGGCAAATACAAAAAGTAAAATTATATCAAATAGTCTCAATGTCAGTTTTGTCTTTAAAAAAAGTATCTCCAGTAGAGAGGGTATAATAATAATAGTAGCACAGTGTCCTGACCTGTATATTGTGGTTTCTGTATCCGATCCAATGGAAACTGTGTCCACCTTAGAGATTAGTAAAACCCTGATGTAGTGTAACACTGTTACTTTATTTAACTCTCTATTTTATCCCTTTTAGGAACTCTTACACAAAGTAATGGTGTTGCTTGTCTCCAAGGACCACAAAAAAAGGGATTAGGTGCAGTACAGCACAGTAGTCTTTAAAGGGTTACCATCTGTTGGTGCAGTGTTTCAAGCCGCTCCTGTGCACTTGAGCCGGGACAAATCATTGGCACCTCGGAAGGATGCCGACTTCTGTTACCACTGAACCTGCTCCTACAATAGTTAAAAGGGACACTATAGTCACCAGAACAGCTACAGCTTATTGCATTTGTTTTGGTGAGTAGAGTCAGGCTTCAGGCTTTTTGCTGTAAACACTTTTTAGTGTCTTTTCAGAAAAAATGCAGTGTTTACATTACAGCCTCGTGATACCTCCACTGGCTACTCCTCAGATGGCTACTAGAGGTGCTTCCTTGATCAGTCATGCCTAGTGTACAGCACTGCCATTCAGTGTCTCCACCCTCTGCATGCAAACACTGAACTTTCATCATTGAGTCAATTTATCTCTATGAGGAGATGCTGATTGGCCAGGGCTGTGTTTGACTTGGGTTGACTCTGCCCCTGATCTGCCTCCTTGTCAGTTTCTGCCAATCCTATGGGGAAGCATTGTGGTTGGCTCAGACCACCACTTCTGATGATGTCAGCATACAGGCAGTTCATATGCAAACGGGGCAGAGGTAGCAGCTGCAGACTTTAATACAAGTAAGATTATACTATATTTAGGGTGGCAAGAGGGGACAGGGGGGCTAGATGGTGGTTTTAACACTACAGGGTCAGAAATATGTTTGTTTTGCTGACCCTATAGTGCTCCTTTAAGCAGTCTGTAGAATCAGTTGAGGGACTCTGACTGTTTTCTGCTTTCCTGCCTTGCTTGCTTCTGGCTATGTGATAAAAGCAGCAGCGTTTAGCAATTTATATCATCTGGGCTAGGTCACTAAATGTTAGGTCACTGAGGCTGCATAACACACAAACTTCCATTCAAAGTGCACCTAATGCCTTTTTTGTGGTCCTTGGAGACAAGCCACCACCCTTACTTTCTGTAAGAGTTCCTAAAAGGGATAAAATAGAGGGTTAAATAAAGTAACTGTGTTTCTCTGATCTCTACAGTGGACACATAGTTTCCATTGGATCTGATAAGAGTGAATATACAGGACAGTGTGCTATTATTATTATTATACCCTCTCTACTGGAGATATCCTTTTTTAAGACAAAACTGACATTAAGACTCACTATTTGATCTAATTATACTTTGTGTATTTCCTATATGTGAATGGGAATATTCACTTATCGCTGCTACTATTTTGTTTACCATTTTAAAACTTTTTGAAACTTGAAGTTTTTATTGTCTCTAGCTGCTATTTATTTTTTTAGTATTGGTTTTATATGCAAAGATTTTATTTTTTTATTTTTTTAAATTGCACTCAGTGCTTGTTCTAAGTATTGGGTAATGGCATAAATAGTGCATTATATTATACCAGTGCTTAAAGTTTTAATTACTATGCTATTAGTCAGGCCTTAAGTTACTTGAACTGCAAACATTTACTTGAGCTGCAAACATAGAATGTTCACCTGCCAAGGGCTAGCTGTGAGTGGAAATCTTGAACCTTCCATTATATTTTAGGGCTATTTTACTGTGTGTTGTATTTGTTCTATAATTATTATATTCTGTGCATAACTCTTATAAAAATTCATGCAGCTGTCAGAATATATTGGCTTACATCAAAGGGTCAAATCCATTAATGGGGAGGGTAATCTTGCAGATCAATTCAAGACTCCTATTAATTTGCATCTGTGTTTCATCATATATACATATGATTCATTTGTTACATGTGTTCATTGGGAGCATCCACAATTTAAACTTTAGAGGTGGACATGACACTACCCTTTTAAATACATTATAGAGATAACATCGTGGACATTGTTTTGACTTGGAGAGTTGTGTGCTGACTTGCTCAGCAGAGATTTGGCAGGTCATGATACATTTCTAAATAATCTAGGAGCCTGTTCCAAAAATTAGAAGCCAGAAAACAAAATGGCTTACAAGCATAGTTAATCATGGTTCTCTACCTCTCACACACACACACACACACACACACGCATAACTTGCCACTTACGCAATACCTAATTATCTACACATTATTACGTGTACACAAACACTTGCATAACTAACTAGTTTAGCAACAAAAAGGCAGATTCTCATCACCATTTCTTTCTCCCTGGAATTGTGGATTTATGTAGGTTTATGGATATGTAGTTCAGCAGTTGAGATTTCATTCATGACAAGACAAGAATGAAACTACTAAAGCTATTAAATCAGTTGGAAAGGGAGCTCCTGTTGCCATGGCATAGGACTACTACAGTGCTGGTTACCTAGACTTAATTTGCTTCTTTTCTCATGTTTCTTGAAATACTGCAGGAGTTCCAAGGCACCTAAATGTGGATCTTATCAAAGATGACTTAATGAAGATAGAGGACGTGTATTCAGTTGAAGATATTAATGTCTGGTCTCTCACCACAGGAAAATCAACCGCCATCATTCGTTTACAACTAAGTATGTTATGGAATCAGTGAACACTTGTTTTGTTTTTTTTACTGTATATGTGTAACTTGTGTAATGGCTGGGCTTTTTGTTAACCATAACCCCTTAAAGACCAGTGGCAATACATGGCTTCATCTTAGTCCTGCGTAGGGACTATGACGACATGGAAAATACTTCTTATTAATCAGCAACTTTTATTGGGCCTGAATGTTATTTATTGGATAGTCTTGAAGAACCAGATAACAATGTAGACTATTACTGCCCCTAACAGGTTGAAGTAACACTCCAGGCATCAATGCTGCACAGTTTGTTTTTGACTTAAATAATTTTTTTGTGTTCTTAAATTTGCAAGGTGTTTACCATCTCTTCCATTCTAAAATACTTTTTTGTGGTTACAGTATTTTAAAATGGATTATGTAATTTCTAGTGTATTTCATGCTGTTTGCTTGTTGTTGGGATGTAAAATATAAAGATCCCTATAAAATCTTTGAGACACTATAGTCGCCATAAAAACTTTACCTTAATAAAGTAGTTTTGATGGGTAGATCATGCATCTGAAGTCTCACTGCTATTTAGGAGTTAAATCTTTTTTGTTTGCTTGTTTATGTCCATGAAGCCCTAGCTACACCTCCCCTGGCACATCCTGCATGTAAAAAAAAATTCAAAAAAAAATTCATTTTCAATCAGATGTTAACTTACTTTAAATGTTTTTATCTCCTGCTCTGTAAATTGAACTTAATCATATACAGGAGGCTCCTATTTCTAGCAAGCTGTTAGTGCAGAAGATAAATTCTCAATTAAACAGAATTTGCAATAAAGGAAGTATAAACATTAGATGACATATTTACAGGCAGTGTTTAGGAAGGCTGTGTGCCTATGGCTGTATAAACAAAGTAATTTAACTTTTAAATTAAAGAATTAAGGAGTGAGACTGCAGGGCACATCCTCTATACAACAAAATGGCTCAATTAAGCTAAAGTTGTTCTGGTGACTATAGTGTCCCTTTAAGTGGGATTTTACCGTTTTCAGAATAGGTAAGAAATGGGTAAAATCCCCCTCCCCCAAATTTTGCCTAACTACACCACCCTTAGTTCTCTGGCCATTTATTGTTTTCAGAGTATTCTGGGAGTTGTAGGCCATCATCTTCTGGGGTGGGATTGCAGAGTTTAAGATCCCTGATTTAGAGCCACAACATGCTTCGTTTTGGTTAGGAACCAGTTTGGCTACATATACCGTTTACTGTCTGAATTAATATTACACTTTATTTATCCAAGTGAAGATAATCAAGCCTAACCAGACAATAGTACTATACGTAACTACAAGGTCTACTACAGCCCTACAGTAATTCCCAAAATCTGTCCTTCCTCCCAGGCTGTTATAAATGCAACCTTCCCCAAACTCTGGCCCTGTTTCTGAACTACAGCTTCCATGATTCTATGAATGAAATAGGCTGAGAATCATGAGAGTTGTAGTTCAGCAACATCTGGAGTTGGGGGAAGCCTGCTGTAATGGGTGAACTTATTGGTGAGTTTCAGTACAGGATATGAGGGAAAAAATGGAGCAATATTTCCGTTCCTCTGCCTGTTCCTGAAGACCTGAATGCAGTTCCATATTTATTTCTCCACTGGGTAAGGACCAGCACTGGGAGGAAGGATAAGATAACAGATCTAAACTTTATTTGTAAAACAAAACATAGGTTGTACATACACGGGATTGGGAGAGAAGAGTTTAAGCTGAGGCAGTATTGGAGTAGAAATTTCCTCACCTAATTTTTATAAACATAATTTGGCCACACTCATTGAAAAATCACACTTTCCTAAGTTATTCACTGCCTGCCAATGTTTTTTTTTTCCTAATACTTTTTTTATGAGTGTATATTGTTTCAGAACTGTTGGCAGAGATGTAGAAAAAAGGGGGGGTATAGGATGTGCAAAATATTTCTTCCAACTCTGGGGGGGGGGGCCATGCATGGAAGACTTTCTGAAAGCAATTTGGCTGTAGAAATGATCTCTTAAATAATTGGTACCATCTGTATTTTACTTCTCAGGTCCTAGTTCCTCAGCAAAGTGGGAGGAAGTACAGCGCAAAGCAAGGCACGTACTACTGAACACACACAAAATGTACAAGTGTTTTATCCAAATGCAAAGTTATAGGCAAGAGGAGACCTCTATTTGTACTAATTGCTCCAATGCCTGAGTCCCATGGATTCTGCCTTACCACTGACAGCCCAAGTCTGGACGACAACAAAAGCAATATGTGTTAATCTTTTATTACGATTATGGTGCAGTCACTGGTGGTTGCATCATATATCTTTAAAAGGAGCCTTGTTTTATAACAAACTGTGATACTTATGGTGTATCCGAAGAAACGACAGAATTCCAGTGAGCATTTTTTGACCGATTTTCTAAAGTGTTGTTTACAGACTAAAAGCAAGTTTGCACATAGTTCTTAATTGGGGATATGATAGTATAGCACATTTGTCAGGATCCGAATTATATTATTTTGATTTATAATAAAAAAGGTGACTGCAAAAATGGACATTAGAGCCTTCAGCCTTGCATAGCTCTTTTAGTCATGACCAATGAGAGGCCTAATTGTTTGTAATTCTGTACACAATTCACGGATGGTCAAAGTCTAAATTGCCTTACTGCATCTGAAAGGTTTACAGTCTTGTTAAACTGTTTACTGCCTTTTCTGTTGTAGTTTAAACCAAGTACTAAATCATTCCTGTGTATGAATATTAACCAGGGAGGGTCTCCATAAAATCTCACCCCGTCAGTACGGAGCAAAACTGCAAACCTCTGTTTATGCTGCTAACATATCATGTATTGAAATGATTGATGACTCACTTGTCATTGTGTTGCTTAGCTTAGATCCATTTACTCACGCTTCACAAGCTGCCCAAATGAATGACTTTTTGTATTGTAATGATTTACAAGTTTTATATTGGCTTTGTATATTGCTTGCTGAAAACCATAAGCTTGTTGATGAAGTTCAAAGAGTAACCCTTATCAGTGATATCGCCTGTTGCACTTTTCCATTGCTGTTGATCCTTCCAGAAGTATATTTACAGTGTTTAATCCATTATTTGTGCCAGTTATGAGTATTCAGAAAACTAATTAGAAACAGAATGCTCCCACTCCATTAAGCACAAACATTAATGAAGGTCCTAGTCTGAATTTTAATTCATGCGTCTTGACTGCCAGGTGGCTATTATGCAACAAGTAATATGAGTCCTACAGTGTCTGAAGCACATGAACAGTATTAAAGATATTGCAGGAACTTGATTTATTTTTTTGTATGACGAAGGTTCTTTTTACTATGATAGTTCCAGATTGAATTGTCTGCCTTTGGAGAAACATATTAAATAGAAATTTAAATTAGCAATTTACTTGGTTTTATGCATTGTAGTAGAAGATATATTTAACAAATCTTTAGTACTGATTAAATGCCAGATCAAGCATTTGTACATACACAAAACTAAAGTGGTCTAAAGCATTACCATTTATAATGGCTACATTGAGTGCATTTGTTATCACTTTAGGATAAACTTTTGGTAGCTGCAAACAATATGTACAGTTTAATTTTTACACTGACAAAGTTTGTATACATACACATTTGCCTTTTTTTTTTTTTTTAACTATTTCTATACACACACACACACACCTCACTAAATGTGGAGTCAATACTCCAGTTTGAAAAGCTAGGCCAAAACCGTAACATTTGATCATTTTCTAGAAGAGATATTTTGGCATTTACATCAGTCAGCTTGCCTCAACTGTTAAGTTAATATGCCCCTTCTTTGCATATTGATGGTAATGGGGTGGGATACAATAGTAAGACAATTTAAAAAAACTTGTGATCCGGTGTTGCTTTTTATATATTAATATAATATATAAAATTGGGTTTCAGTCATAGTATGCTGTTTACAGTTAACGAGTATGTATAACAATTTTAATAAGAAAAGGCACCGACACTGTTTCTGTAACAGAATTTATGGTACTTAAACTGCACAATGCTGTGTTGTAATAAAGTATTTATTACACAAGAGTAAGCCTTTTTGTGTGAAGTTTTTATTTTATTTTTTAAATACAAAAATAAAACAAAATCAAGTAAACTGATTGTAAAGAAATAGTTTGACAACTGTTACTCAAAGCTGCATGTTTCAGCCAAGTTACATAGCTGAAAAGAGACTTGCGTCCATCAAGTTCAGCCTTCCTCACAAATGTTGTTGTTGATCCAAAAGAATACAAAAAGCCTGGTCTGAAGCGCTTCCAATTTTGCCACAAACTAGGAAAAAATTCCTTCTTGACCCCAAAATAGCAGTCAGATGTCTCCTTGGATCAAGTTACTTGTATCAATGTGATTGAAGCTTTAATTTCTATATATTTACATACGTATATGACATAACATCCCCATAGTTAGGACAGGATCACACATGTTTTGCAATGATGGTGAATTCCCGGGTTTAAGGGTTTTATCTAGGCAAGTTGCATGCACATATTTGTTCTGTATTTTTCTTATATAATTGAATTAAGTCATTTCAGTGCATGTCATATACAGACACAAGCCATATTGCACATTGAGGCAGCGGTATATTTGAAATGGGAAAATAACCTGTTGTAAAGCAAGAAACGCGAGGAATGGGGTTGCCACACATTTCCTATTATCACATGCTCTACCCGATACTTGGTTGCCTAAGTACCTGTATTATTCCTCATCAGAATTCAATAATAAACACTATACAACTGTAGCCTGCGTAAGACTGAAAACTGATTTCTAGTTAGTACAGCTTCTTCTGTAAGTACAATACACCTATATAATATACAGGTAGGGTTCACCCTTTTACAGTATATCCAGATAGCTTTTCATAGACTTTTAGGTCATTGGCAGTGAGCGATGGTTTCACACATTGTAGAGATTTTTGGAAATGCTCCAATTTCACTGACGTTGCCTGTAATCCATTCATATGTAATGACAACAGGGCAGCCTGAAAAGGCAAAGTATAAAACTATTTAAACAATGCAACTCCTACCTACTTGCATCAATCAAACACTTTTCCATCAGCATAATATTTCCTCTTAACACCTTATGCCAGCATGAAACATTCTACTAATGTAGTAGTTGTAGCTCTATACAATTGCAAAATGAGGGTATTTTACTTAACCCCTTGCTGATGAAAGCAGTTGATGGGGCGAACTTGAGAAAACATGTTAACTTTACCATTGTCCAAATTTAATAAGCCACCCTCCAATTAGGTCAAATAGCTCTGCATCATTGTTAAAAAGCACTGTAACAAACTAGTCCTCTGTGTTGAATATGCAATGTCCTTTTTAATGCAACCATCAAGGTAATTCAATGCATTCATGATTTTAACAAAGTCTCACCTCTTTACAGAGATTGCAAAGGTCTGCTCCAGAGAATAAAGGAGTCTCCGCTGCCAGGAATTCTAGGCACACATCAGGATCTAATGGGATCTTAGCTGTGCAGATTTTCAGGATTGATAAACGTGCCTGTGAAGTATAGTTAAGAATAAATAAATAATCTGCTTCCCAGATCACAAACAAGCTGAAAGTCCATAAGGACTGTAGAGCTTGGCACATTGGGTCAGAGTGAAACTCAGCTGACAAGGAAAAGTTTAACTGAGGGCAGTGTGTGTGTGTGTATATATATATTCATTCTCTCTCTCTCTCTCTCTCTCTCTCTCTCTCTCTCTCTCTCTCTCTCTCTCTCTCTCTCTCTCTCTCCTTACTGCAGCCCTGGTGTCAAGGAACTCTTATGTACTATTGAAACTGGTTTCATGCTCAATAGTGAGACAGTGCCAGTGACTCCAGGAACTATAACCAATTCAATGAGATCAGGTGTGCCTACAGTGTCCTTTTCCTTTTAATATATGTGGCTGAGAAGAAATATATCAAATATCCAAAAGAGATAAAGAAGGCAGACTAGGATCATTTTGATACACACCAATCTCTAGAGTAACAAAGTAGAATGTTGGGTAAGGATGCAAGATGAAATAATGGTTTAGAGTAGACGGAGTATCCTTTAATGTATTATATCCCATATCTTATTCACTTTCATTTAAGCTCATAGAAGTTAATATCCTGATTGTTTACAGAAAACATAACCTGCCTCCCAGAGGTAATCTTTCTAGATTATGAATAGGCGATGAAGATTACAGCAAAAAGCATATCATCCCTAATAGATGGGTTTACAAATTTATAAATACACAAATGCTAAATTTCCACCAGTTATTATACAAGATATTTTCAAGTGGAGCATGTTTTGAACTTACCCAGAAGCATTATCTGTGTTTATGCTCACATGTGCCTTAAAGACCAAGATACCATAATTCATATTTTTTAAGTTTATGAAAAAACCTGTATATAGATAGGATTTTTGGTGACCTTAGTAGTATACTACAGTACAACATTCATTGAATAGCAAAGTGAATGAATTCCAGTGGGGTGTTTAAACCAAGCATGCTTCGAGAACACAATGTGAACATAGTCATACGAGAAGAGGAAACTACGAACAAAGAAAATGATAAAATATAGACTCTTTGCCTAGAAATACCAGGCTCTGGAGCTTATTTGAAGTAACTCATACCTTTTTATCTGGTGGTGGAACGTACAGTAATTTGTCCAATCTGCCAGGGCGCATCAAAGCATCGTCCAAAACGTCTGGCCTGTTTGTTGCAGCCACAATCATCACGGAATTGTTTATAACCTCCTCAAACTCCAGCTGTCAGAAACAACAATTCTAGTAATTATAGAAGGACTATTAAGAATAACGTTGTGAAATAAATGTATTATTCAAATGGTAAGAAGAAACTAAGCAGGGGGTATGCCAGGAGCAAGCCGGCTGTGCGCTAATGCACATGCTTACACGGATGACCGGTGTCTACTCTGCCCAAATGTGCTGTGTGGTGAAGGGGAGAGAGAGTCACTAAGAATTATGTTTTTGCAAAGCATACATGTGCTTTTTTTTAAAGTTTTGCCATAGTGTTTTAAATTAAAATCTTAGCAGCATAAAACCGGTTGCGGTGTACGAGCATATAAAGGAGTTTCCGTTATAGACAAAATCATTTAGAATTTTTTTTTTAATGTTTTTGTATATGAAAAGCTGTGCCATATGGTGGTATAAGAATGTTTGTTTTGCATAATATTGCTTTTATTTTTAACACTAAACATGCAAAGATGTCCATACATTACAACCTTTAACATAAGATCAACTTTTATTTTCTTTTGTTTTTTTTACTCGGCATATGAAAAGTTGTGCCACTTTAGGGGGACTGCCTGAGATGTCAGGCAGAGCTGCAGACAGTGAGGGCCGGACTGGCAGCAGGGGAACAACGAGAATTAGAGTGAACCATGCCACCCTAACAGTGTTTAAGCCCATAGTGTGCAGGGCGGCATAGTACGCCTTAAGGGGGGCAAGAGGGGGCCAGGGAACCTACATATGTTTTTACCAAAATAAGGCTAGGAATACATTTGTGTTCCTGACCCTCTATTGTTCCTTTAAAGGACCACTAAAAATTCAGCTTAATGAAGTGGTCTGGGTGCCAGGTCCCTCTAGGGTTAGTCCTGCCTGCTGTAAACATAGCAGTTTCAGAGAAACTGCTATGTTTACATATGGGTTAATCCAGCCTCTAGTGGCTGTCTCATTGACAGCCACTAGAGGCGCTTCAGCGCTTCTCACTGTGATTTTCACAGTGAGAAGACGCCAGCGTCCATAGGAAATCATTGAGAATGCTTTCCTATGGACTGACTGAATGTGCGGTATATGTCCGTCTACAAACATATAACATTATAGCCATGGACAGTTGTGTATATGTGAGTCGATGTAAATACAAATTTTTGTATATTATTCTTATCGTATAAAGTTGTTGCCAAAATGTATACTATAATATTTATATATTACAGTATCTCAGAAGTACACCCCTCACATTTTTGTAAATATTTTATTATATCTTTTCATGTGACAACACTGAAGAAATGACACTCTGCTACAATGTAAAGTAGTAAGTGTGCAGCCTGTATTACATTGTAAATTTGCTGTCCTCGCAGACGGTTTAGACATTAAAGGGCTGTGTGTTGAGTTATTTTGAGTGGACAGCAAATTTACACTGTTATACAGGCTGCACACTTACTACTTTACATTGTAGCAGTGTCATTTCTTCAGTGTTGTCACATGAAAAAATATAATAAAATATTTACAAAAATGTGAGGGGTGTACTCACTTTTCTGAGATACTGTGTGTGTGTGTGTATATATATATATATATATATATATATATAAAAAACAAAAATAAAAATAGTAATGCACGCCACCTTCCTGTCTGAACGTTGATTTTTATTTTGAGCTAATAAAAGCTACGTTTTATTCATTCTACTTGGAAGTCCCTGGAGTGCTATCTTGTACTTTTGGATATATATATATATATATATATATATATATATATATAGATATAGATATAGATATATATACACACACACACACACACACACACACACTGAACAAAATTATAAACTCAACACTTTTTTTTTTGGCCCCCATTTTTCATGAGCTGAACTAAAAATCTAAGACGTTTTCTATGTACACAAAAGCCCTATTTCTCTCAAATATTGTTCACAAATCTAAATCCAAGTCTAAATCTGTGTTAGTGAGCACTTCTCCTTTGCCGAGATAATCCAACCACCTCACAGGTGTAGCATATCAAGATGCTGATTAGACAGCATGAGTATTGCACAGGTGTGCCTTAGGCTGGCCACAATAAAAGGCCACTCTAATATGTGCAGTTTTATCACACAGCACAATGCCACAAATTTTGAGGGAGCTTGCAATTGGCATGCTGACTGCAGGAATGTCCAGAGCTGTTGCCTGTGAATTGAATGGCGTTTTCACTGTACTGTCCTGGGTTTACTGAGAGGTGTTTCTGTCATATCGGAGGTCATAGGGAGGTAAGTCCTGAGTCGTATATTTGGAGGAATTTGATTATCTAGTGGAAATATTAGCCAAGAGCCGATCTTGGCTAGCTTGCACCACAAGAAGTTATATGGCAGCTGCAGAGTTTTTATTTTTTATCCTCAGAAGCAGACATCCAAATTATCTTGAGTTACTATTCTTGAGTTATAGTTTATTTTAAAGTTTTATGCAACATAATACATTGTTATAATTATTTTATTGATCTGGCCTACTATTGTGGTTTTGCTTTTATTTTTTATGTACAACACTCTAATATGGTTAATTGATAAGTATAAATATGCTCTCATATGTCATAATAAGCATGAAATACTGCATTGCTTATGTACATTTGGTATTTCATCATATTTGCATAGGGGTTCAGTGACACATTAGATACATAATTCTCACACAATCTGATGCTTATTTACAATATTACAGGAATACGGTGTATTTTTGTGTTATTATTCAAACTAAAAAAGATAAAATGCACTATAGCCTCAGTGTGTCTAATTGTGCAGTATATACATATAAAGCCATCATCTCAGTGCATTTCCTGGCTTACATTTGCTCTGTCTAATTATGGTGCCAGGAGGCCCCTTAGAGGCACTCTTACTTCAAGAAGTTAAATTGTTCTCGAAATGGTTTAACCCCAAAGTTGCCTCAAGCAGCGATGTCCACTCCCCCCCCAGACGGCATCCAGCATGTGAATTCAGGAAGCACAGAGTGCCGCTAGTGAAGCTGTTGATTGGCTGTTCACTAAACTGGCCTAGGAAAGAAACCCATTTTTACTTTGATAAACTTTCTCCACAGTGTTTTATTTTTAATACTAATAAACTATGGCAGCTTTAATTTGAGTGGGTTAAGACAGTAGATAGCTTTCTGAAGCCAACATTCATTTTATTCCACTTTAATACTTTAATCCAATTAGACAACAAAGAATGCCTTGCATTTTATTTTGTTTGGAAGAAATGTGCTTTTGGCGCATAGAATGTTGTTTGTCCTGTCAGTCTCTCACTAAGTGATTAAATAAGATTTACCAACTAAATGTCCAAGGGGCTCTCAGGTGAGCTGGGAAAAATACATTTATGTTTAATGAATGAAAAAAAAAAACAGAAGCGCTTAGCTACTACTTAGCAACTGGCTTTTAGTAGCAGCAGTCCCGCCTGTAGCTCCCCGTCTCGAATTGTGAAATTCTGCAGTCACTGAGCAGTCGCTACTCTCTAAAAGTAGTGACAGGCACTTGAGAGTCGCAGCTAGCCAGTAATAAGTAGCAACAAGTCCAATAGTGTTTCTGAGATATCCAGCACTTTGACAGGATGATTGGATTTGCAAACGCTCCCTAGCTTTTGATTGTATTCGGATTAGTCATCACCTCCTGGGGTTTCATACAGACACTTGCATACAGTGTTTACATTGAAAGCTAGGAACACCTCCAGTTGCAGTCACTCAGTGAACCAGAGAGACTTTGGAGTTGATGGAAGCATAATATGCCTCCATCCACTCAGATCTGCTGTGCACGGGCATTGTATGCAGACAGTGAACTTTCCTTATAGAGATTCATTGATTCAATTCATCTCTATGAGGAAATGCTGATTGGCCAGGGCTGTGTTTGAATCATGCTGGCTCTGCCCCTTTGTCAGTCTCAGCCAATCCTATGGGAAAGCATTGTGATTGGATCAGGCTACCACTTCTGATGATGTCAGCATTCTGTTGTTTTTTTTTTTTTTAGGCAAACAGCATGCAGAGTTACAGCTTCAGGCTTGAATACAGTAAGATTTTTACTATATTTATGGAGGCATGAGGGGCCTAGGCGGGCTAAATGGTGGTGTTAACACTATAGGGTCAGGAATACATGTAGTTGCACTGGTGACTATAGTGTCCCTTTAATTTGCATATTCAGGAAGTTTTGCATATTGCTAATTCTGCAGGCAAGAGAGATATTTTGTGTTAATTATTGTCTTCCCCACCCTTTTATAAATATGTAATTGTGTTATTATAAGTTGCTGTATGTTGTCTGATATAATTTGGTTATTTGTATTTTATTGAATTTGCCAATCTAAGTGTAATAAGCATATGGGCTAGTCCCAACTAAAAAATAAAGTTTTGTATGCAAGCTGCTTTTGAAACTGTGTCCTGTGTAGATTTTTAAGGATCCCAGTAACAGAGTCTTCGGACCTGTTGGCTGGCTGCACGATCCCTCTAGCCCAGGAGCAAAAAGAGAGCTAGGCCTGAGAGCCGCATGTGTCTTTATAAAGACAAGAACAATCACAGTGCAGGAAGAGGTGGATACCTGCCTGGATGAAGGGATGCAGTGGAATAGACAGAGGGGACGGTTACCTGCCTGGAAGGGAGCTGCAGCCTGGTCGGGTGGAAAAGTTCCAGAGACCAATATCAAGCTTCTGCGAAGCGCTCCAGAATCCCCTGTGGCAGCAAGGAAGCAAACCAGGTGGATATTCTAAGTCATAGTACAGGAGTTCGGTCACATGTATGTTTTCTGGTCATATAAGCAGTGTTCTTCCATAGAGCAAGGCTTAGCTAGGATTATGTGCTAAACAAAAATGCTAGGACTACAAACTAATAGAATCAGAGGCTAAGTTAAAGAGAGACTCCAGGAACCAAAACCATTTCATGTCAATCAAGTGCTTATGGTGCCTAGATTCCACAAAATACCTTCTTACCTTAAGTGTTAAACTGTAACAAAACTAAATTTCTTTAGAATTGTTTTGCTGTTAGGCAATGTAGCAAACACAGAGCATAGTTTCTGTAAATATAGATCAACAGTCATTATTCTATAACTTTTTTTTTTTTTTATTCACTTAGAGGGATAATCTGTATACCAAAACCACTACTTTTAATATGTTTTTCTTTATTAATCATATGCAACCATATGCATTTTTTAACAGTGTTTGTACAACATACAAATGCAGGACTCACTAAAACAAATTCATTTAATTGAAGTTGTTCTAGTGCCACAGTAGATCCCAACTACTAAGTGCTCACAAAACATTATATTTTAATTATTTGAAGCCTTGGAAGCACAGCTTCAAGCTTCACATCTGAGCCCCCTGGATATGAGAGCCATGATTGTTACTGGCTCTTATACCCAGGCACACCATGACATGATGTGTACATGTGCAGTGCTATCACAGCTTGCCACAGAGAATCATTGCCATAGAGAATTTCAACGATTCTCTATGACAGGTTCAATGGCGGAGTGCGACAAGTACCGCGCATGGCCTACGGTCCCCAACGTGCCTCCATAAGGTGCATTGGATTGGTCCTTCATCCTTTAGGCAAGGCCAAAACGTTGTTCATATTATCTGGTTATACCTTACCTCGGACCCCCCAAAAAATGAATAAAAAGCGTGGCCTTTTAATTGCACTGCCCTTAAAGGTCACAGAACCCATGAGAGTCATTCAAGGCAGATTGTATTTTGACCTATGTACGAGGGTAGGAAGTATTTCGAAATAGGGTGCTACTCTCCCCGATTGGGGTGGGGGTAATCTGAGTAGTGAAGTTGGTTCTGGTTAACTATATGTCCCACTGTATGTGGTGAGTAGTGGAGAGTGTCGTCATTTGTCAGGATAGAAATACAACAGCGTAGGGAGCGTTTAAGAGCGGTATGCATTCAAGGTATCAGCGTAGCCTGGTAGTTGTGCAGCTGGATACCGCGTGTATCTTGCAGTAAGTCAGGTTTTCCTGAGCTGAGGTATCGGAGCAGTATAAGATGGCAACCCCCCTCCCCACACCAGCTCTCCGCTTTTTTTTTTTTTGTTATTGAGATTTGGATTTGCTGTACCCCTCTATTGGACGGTGCTCTGGGGATGTGGAATGGAAGTGCTTTGGACATGGAGGCAGACAGAGCCCCAGTCCCTGTGTGCATGCTCATACTACATTGATCATGCGAGGAGGAGTAGATGGCAGCACTGGAGAAAAGGGTAGTGTTTTTCTTTTCTTTTTTTAAACGTGCACACGGGGATCTGATGTCAGTGCACAGGCGACACATAATAAGGTTCTACCCCTGCATGCAGCACTGGGAAGGGGCCTGCAAAGGGAAGGTTGTATGTCCCCTCCCTCGTGCACTCCACCCCTCCCACATTCAGATTTTTGGTTTGTTTCCCCTCTGTCATGGATCCTGTCCCTCTGTCCACCTCACTCTCACTCCCAGCCTGAAAATCGGTCCAGCATTTGATTGAAGCAATGATGTCAGAGCATTGAAGGCAGCAAGGGAATTCAAGATAAATTTATAAATTTTTTTTTTGAGAAACATAATGGGGAGGACCAAGTATGTAATGCTTAAAAGGGCAATCAAAAAAAATTTTTTTATTTTTTTTTTAAATTACCCTTTAAATTAGACTGTAAAATAAAGTATGCAAAGTTATCCCACAGACACAAACATAAAAATTAACACGTCCTAGTGTATACAGGTCTTAGAATATCAGATATCTTGTAGTTGAGTTTTTTTTTTTTTTTTTTTCTTCTTATATTTAATAACATCCAGGAAAGTTTTCCTCTCTCCTATAAGTAATGGACAGGGATTATCAACATTACCTTATCATCCTGGCAGTTTCCAGTGCCTTCGAGCAGTACTTTAGTGCCCCTTCGTTCAGTGGTCTTTAATCCAATACCGTCCAACTCATTAAGCAGAACAGACAAAATTCTTTCCTGGACACCGGAGCCAGAACCGCTGGACGAACGTGACCCCACAATGGCATCAATCTCATCAAGGAATACAATGGCTGGAGTGCTAGCTCTTGCGTTCCTAAACACCTGTATATACAGAGAGTCATTAGAATTTGGAGGAAAATAGCAGACATCAAAAAGCCCTGCAATTAAAGTGTAATAAAATATATATATTTTTGCATTAAATAAGATTCTTATTAGCCATGGACTATTGACTATGTATACACTTTGTATATGATATGTCCAGAAATGTATCAGCAGCTACCTAAAATGTAATTTCTATATGTGTGCCCAATTTTAAAGCTACTGTTGTGACTGTTATGTCGGGACTATTTAAAAAATCTTGAGCTTTCCTTTCTAATAGCAATAAGAATGTTCACAGGTTTTCTCTGCCACAATGCCTGGCACAGAACTGACAGTCTAATTACATGTAGTGAGTTCCAAAATAAAAGTTTTTTTAAAAAAGGCTGCAAAGTTTCCCACAAAGAGGAAGGCTATAGTAGTGTTTACTAGGGTTAAGGGCTGACGAACCGCTACTTCTCTAGAAGTGAAAGTTGTTGGGTTTTTTTAAGCATACAATATCTTTTAATCTATACAACTGCTGGTGATTTTGTCAAAACAATAATATATATATTCAATATTATAACATTGAACAATTTTGTCTCAGACAATACATAACCAAAAATAGCAAGAAAGCAGCATTTCTAGGTGACTAATACTCTAGCATTCTTTCTCATCATATCCAGGTATTATGTGTTGTTATTACTGTGGATCTTAAAGTTTGCACACTTGGAATTCATAAACATATCTATATGGACTAAATCTAAGCAGAAACCAAAAAATCATACTGTGAGGGACAGCATATTACCTTCCCTTCCAAGTAAGAGTGGTTAATTACGATTATCTAGGACAAAACTTCTCATCCACTCAACAAGATATTAGCTCTTGGTGGCTGTGGCACAAGGTGCAGTTTCTTCTCTCCACCTTATTAGTAAGTGTTGGTGTTTGGATGGCAGATTGTAATATGTAATAATTGTACATGGGCAAGATGTCGACTGACAAATATGGCTAATGTCATGCCTAAACCAGAGTAGTAAAGGCTACTAAGGACATTAAGCCAGTGCCTGGTAAACGTAGGAGCCAAGCCATATTTATTATAAGAATATCAGCCATGTTGCCCAAGTTATAATACAATTTTATAAGAGTATCTATCCCTTCAGAGTCAACTAATACATTTAAAAAAAAAAAAAAATAGGCGAATTTCTCAAGCTCTGCTTAAAGCACTATACGCACTGCACCCCACTTGAGTGGTTATGGTGCTATGATTATATTGGTATTCAGTCTTCTGGTTTCCCGTCACTCCATTTCAGTAGGGCTCTCTGCAGTCACGCAGATAATCAGACATTGCCGTTCTACACTATCCATAGGAATCCCACCAATCCTGGCTGCCTATGATGTGCTGAGAATGCTGACTTAGCTGCCCGAATGCTCTCAGCCTACAGTGACATCCAAAGTTAGATGGATTCATACATATACTGGAGAAGTTTAACTAAAGCTAAAATATGCTCAGATGTAAGCTATAGAATTTTTGAGCATTGAATTGGTCATCGCAGAGATATTCGGATGACTTTGTGGGAGAAGGCACGGGTAGCAATTGCAAAGGGAGCCTTGGCGCAGAAATAAAGGTAAATTAAAACCCTTTCAAGGTTTTTACACCAAATGGAGGGGGTCAAAACGAATCAAGCACCAGGATAGGTTTGTATTCCTAAAGTTACATTGTCTCTTTAAGGCCAAAATAGCCAAACTGCAAAAATAGCTAACTTTGAGCAATTTTCCAGTTCAATCATTATGAACATAACATTGAATTCCGGACACTTCTCACTTTGCTGAATAACACTGTTGGTAAAGATAAATTCACCTGCGCTAAAATCTTTTCCGAGTCTCCAACGTATGGCGAGAAAAGATCAGCACCGCTGACGGAAAGGAAAGAGCAATGACAGCTAGTGGCCACAGCTTTCACCAGCGTGGTTTTGGCACATCCTGGTGGTCCATAAAGTAGCACTCCTTTAGGCAATGTTAGCCCCATTCGGATAAACGCATCAGGGTATTTCAAAGGCCATTCAATGCTCTGAAAACACAAAACATACCATTAACAGGCAGAGATTCTCCTAAACAAAATAAGGAAAAAATTGGAGGAAACGGTAGAAGGATGATAATAATTCAGGATTTAAAGGGATTCTATAGTGTTAGGAATACAAGTTTGTATTCCTAACACTGTACTGTACTGCCCTCTGGTCCGTCCCCACTTTCCCCCCTGCAGTACATAAAGGGTTAAAAAAACAACTTTAGTTACTCAACGGATTCCAGCGCTGATGTTCATCTGTGCTGGGTTGGCACTTAGTCTCCTCCATCATTATGTGACGGGATCTAACGCCCATGTGTGGCGAGCACATTAGGTCATCCCTATAGGTTTTCAGGATTTCCAGAGTCAGTTAGACGACCCGGCTTTGGAACTCCTGGAAGTGCCTCTACAGACAGCCACAAGAGGCTGCAATGTTTACATTGCAAGACTAAATGGGACAGGGACAGTGCACGTAGACAACTTCAATGAGCTGAAGAGGTCTGGCTACCTATAGTGTCCCTTAAGAAATTACATTAATACATATTTCATTAAATGTAATTGAGGATTTGTTAATAGTTCAGTATACACAAAATCAAATGATTATTTATCCAAATTAATATAAGCTATATTGGAGCATGTAGAAATATTTCCGACCAGATTTTTAGGTAAATATCAGCCATAAGATGCATCCACAAACACTACTGTTATGGGTTTATGCAGTAGTACCTAGAAACTCATGTACTTTTTATTACAGAATAACTATGGAGTAAAAATGACCAATATTTTTTAAAATGCATTTCAATGAATTTAAAGAATGCAAAAATAAATAAATATAAAGAAAATAAATAGAAGTGTTATTTTACTTAATACAATATTTGTTAGGTCTTGCAGCTGTAGTCCACCTATGAATGGTCTGAGGCTCTGTTCTTTCTCCTTATCAGAGAGAGTAAGTTTTCAGAAAAGATTGTGTGAGTAGCATGAAGACACCACCAGACTTTAAACTGAAGCATGTTTTGTGTTCTAAAAATCACTCTAAGCTCACGGAGTGGAGGGTGCTCTATGCACAATTTCCTTTGCAGTTATGCACCATAACAACTTTACATCACTGCAAGTTAATAGTAAGTATAGTACACTGCCTTCCCAGCCAAAGTGGCGCATAACAGCAGTGATTTGCAACGATTGGCACTGATATAACCCTACCTCCGGACATCAAAGGAGGCCCTATAATGAAAGGAACGTCTCAGAATTACATTCTCATTACTAAAAATTTGAAACATAAATTTCACAGAAAAAGAATATATTAATTTAGCTAATTTATAGGTTATACAATTTTTTTTTTTTTCATGAAAAGGATCCCAGTTAAAAAAAATTATTGTAAGACATATTTTTTTTTTTTTTTTTTTTAACTAATTTGACTTTTGACACAGTGCTGTAAAATATGTTGCTGTTTTATAAACAAGTAAAATCTTCCACCTGTTTCAACAATACTTTGAGGTCATCAAGTCCACCAATTTCTTCCCAGTAAACTGGTTTAAATTCCACCTGCCCAATAGAACTCCGAGCGGAAGAAGGACGGATTTTTTTAAATGCTTCATAAAAATGTACTTTGCTGATCCTGTCGTTTTCACAATCCTAAAACACATAAGGCGAGCACAAATGAGTACTCCAATAAATTTATTACAGTAATCCAAAAAATACATGGTTGCACATTATGGACAATAAAAATGAATCTATTGTTTGTGATAGCCAAAATGCTAGCATATTTATAGATAAAATGTTATGTCATATTTTAACCACGACGGTCTATCGGGATAGGCAACTTTCGGCACCCCAGATGTTGTGGACTACATCCTCCCATGATGCTTTGTCAGCATTATGGCTGTAAGAGCATTATGGGAAATGTAGTCCAAAACCATCTAGAGTGTAAAGGTTACCTATCGATAATTAATCATCTGTGTAGGACTTTAATGGCCGAGTGGCGGCATAGTCAGTCCCGCAGTTAAAGTATCTGCTGTACCAGCTTGCTCAGCTGCAGTGTTTCTATCACCCAAAGCATCACATATGCCTGTAGGCAGTGGTGTATTTAGGATTTGGGCTGCCCTAGACAGGACGGTGCTTGGGCACCCCCACCCCAATTTAAGTTTTCCCCCACCCCTTCCTGTCAAGGCCGCACTTTGACAGGGCTCACTCACTGACAGATGCACACTTTCATATACACTGACAAACTACGGCATATATATACACACACACAATCCCTCACATACACACTGACAGCCATACATACACACACACACACACTGACAGCCATACATACACAATCCCTCACATACACACTGACAGCCATACATACACACACTGACAGCCAGACACACACACACACACACACTGACAGACATACACACAATCACTCACATACACAATCACTCAGACATACATACACTGAGAGCTACCCTCCCTCCCCAAACATTAACAGATTACTTTTATTTTTTCTAGTTTAAATCCACCCAGCCTCCCTACCTTTTGGGGGTGCTGAGTGGATTTTCTTTCCTAGTGGACTTTCACGGAAGGGAGGCGGTTGTCGATAAAAATCTGGGGGTGGAGCTAGGGAGCACACGGGTGATTGAGCTCTGCTCAGCTACCTTGCGCCACAGAATGATGCGGAGCGAGGAACTCTAGCGTCATTTTTTTAGCTGGACAACCGCTTTTCTGCTTGGACTGTGCGCCCAGGCTAACAAGGCATTTGGCATTTGAGGGCAGCGTTTTTGCTACCCTGGGAAATGCCGCCCAAAGCAAATACCTTGTTTGCCTACATGACTGTCGTCCCAGACTGTGGGTCCCCTGTCAGCTTGAGCCACAATTAGTGGCCCCAGAGTTATAGGCAGCACTCAAGAGAGGGTTGCACATAGCCCTTTAAAGGGACACTATGGTCACCTAAAAAACTATCTTAATGAAGCAGTATGGGTGTACAGATCATGCCTCTGAAGTCTCACTGCTCAATTCATCTCATTTAGGAGTTAAATCACTTCTGTTTTTGGTACGCAGACCTTCCCTAGCCGTTACTGATGTAGCCTGCATGGAAAAAAAAAAATGGTTTCATTTCCAATCAGATGCTAACTTACTTTAGAAGTTTTTAATCATCTGCACTGCACATACAGGAGGCTCCTGCTGCAACCAACAAGCTATTAACTGTGCGGAGAGAAGACATTCTAAATTAAACACAATTTGCAATAAATGAAGTATAAACATTAGATGTTGGTGTTTCAGTAAGGATGTAAAGGCACATGCATAAACAAAGTGAGTTTCCCTCTTTACTGTGGAAGCTAGGAGGTTGACACATGGAATGGGTTAGAGGGTGATATTAGGACTAGGGTTATAGGTAGGAAAAGGTGTTAGATTATGGGTAGGATTATAGGTTGAATGGGGGATAATATTAGGATTAGGTAAAATAAAGCGGTTCAGGCACTCCGGGATAACAAAAAAAAATAGTAGCTTTATTGGAGCAAAACAGCAACATTTGACCCTACCGGTCTTTATCAAGCTTGAAGCGTTGCTGTTTTTGCCCCAATAAAGCTACTATTTTTGTTATCCTGCCTGAACCCGTTTAACATTTTGCATTTCTTGAAGGAGGCCTGGCCAGCCCTGGTTTCAGAGCACCTGGGTTGCTTGGTGAGTGTGGTATCTGATGCGTCTCTAATATAGGGTTAGGATCAGGATTTGGGTAAAAGTATACACATGTAAGGGTATCACTGTACTTGAGAACAGTAGCAGGATACAAACATTGAGTGTTTGCAGTAGTGGAACAAGTGTGGTCTGTGAATTTATACAAAATACTACATGGCGGAAAAAACTACTGAAAATATGAACAACAAATTTGACCTAGGTTTGTGATAAAATGGTTAGATGAAAATGCTCTTGGTTAAACAGCTTGGAGAATATATATATATATATATATATATATATATATATATATATACACACACACACACACTTTGTACATTACCGGTTTTGGATTCTATTATTGCAAAGTTGTAATATCAGCATAGATTTTACAAAGTTTTAGCTTTGAAACCGTTTACTCCTTTCAGAATGTCTTAAAATGTATGAAATTATAGACACATTGGGCATTTTAACAATTAGGATTAATTAGTGAATCTAGTTTGAGTTTGTTTTTCTTTATTTGCACTTGGTGTGTACAAGCGATTAAATGTAAAACTGAGAAAAATAGTTTAAAATAGTTTTTAAATATTTCATTCCCATTTAATATTAGCGTTATGTCTACATATAAGGTGTCGAAAGAAACCACTATTTCTCCTTTTAGAAAATATATATATGTGTGTATATACACACACACATCTCTCCCAGGTCCCCAGCTTTTCGATGCTCCCTGTCTCCAACAAATTGTATCACGATACCAGTGAGAGAGCACCAGATGAAATTTATTGCAGAAAGACTCCAGAGTGTTGAGTGTGTATGTGTGTATATATTACACATATAAACACACACTTATAGAGAAAGGGGAAATTGTAGAATGAACACAAGGCTAAAGGGCCAAAAGCGGTAAAAATTAGGACAGACACACTGCTGATCCAGAATATCCAGCACAATAATGGGGAGGTTAACCAAGCACTCTAAACCGATTACTGTCATCCATCACATTTTGTGAAAAGTGCAATTTCTCTATTATCTGGCGTTGTGAAAGGAAGTGGGCTATAAGTGCCCAGGAGAACCACTTCAATGGCCTGACAATCTAAAAAACTGATGTATTTGTGGTGTAGTCTCTCCTAGATTACTTCCTAATCTTTAGATCTCTGGGTGCTAGAATGTAATTAAGCTACATGCATTCTTTCAATATGTGTGATGTTTGTACATAATGTTGAGAAACCCAACTCTGGGGATGTGATTTATGAAATATAAGAGCTTTCACATTGGTTTTACCTGATGGTAGTGTAGCACAGCAAGCATAGCAGCCTCTCTGCAGAGTGCATAGAGGTCAGCTCCAACGTATCCGACCGTCATATCTGCCAGACAAGACACATCAACGTCATCACAGATGGGCATGTTTGAAGTCAGAAGTTTTAGAATTTCTTTCCTCTACTGTGTGCAGTTTCCAATGATGACCTGAAAGAATTAAGGTGTAAAAAGCCAGCAGTTCTATTACAGACATTATACTGTATCTTCCTTTAGAAATTCGGAATCCGGTACAGTGATCTTCTCTAATTGGATGTTATCTCACTTCAAAAACATGCATGACATAAGTAACTAAACATGTTAATTCACGCATACTGAAAAACAGTTAAGGATACTATTACTTTTTTTCCATAAGTTTAAAAAAAACAACAAAAACGACTCAAATGTTTTGTATTTTAAGTAAATACAGGACCATATGAAACATTAAAATGATTTTCGGTTTGTTCAAAATATGTTAAGAAATCACTAACTGCATAAACCAGGATTAAAGGGACACTATAGACATTAGGACTACTTCATCTCATTGAAGTGATCTGGGTGCACTGTCCCTGCACTGCTTTCCTATAGGGAGAGCCGAATAAGCATGCCATGAACACTCCAGCACCAAGTTCATGCTGTTGGAGGCCTAACGTCAAGTTAACATTTAGAACTTCCCAATAGAAAAGTTTTAAATTAAATGTTTTTCTACTGATTTTGAAGGCGTTGCACATCCTCGTGCAAACAGTGAAAATGCAGGCGCCTCTTGTGGCTGTCTGGCAGACAGCCACGGAGGCTATATTTATCCTAAGGGAAATGTTTTACATTGCAGGGTTAAGGGGACAGGGACACTACACCCAGACATTTCAATCAGATGAAGTGGTCTGTGTGTCTAGTATCTTTTTAATAGAAACACATTTCCAAATGTTGGGCCCTACCAGCTAGTTGTCTGTTTTAACTTGCTAAATTTACCTCTCTGTCAAATCTACCTGGTCTTCTCAATGCTGGGTCTAGGGCATCAGGCCTGTTTGTTGCAGCTACAATGGCCATCTTGTTGTCACTGTGGATGCCATCCATAAGTGTCAGCAATTGAGCAACAATTCGGTTTTCAGGAGCATTACTTGAACTTCCCCGTTTAGGGACTAAGGAGTCAATCTCATCTATAAAAAGAATGCATGAACCACCACAGGAGATCCCTCGTGCTTTCTGAAAAATGTCCCGTAAGTTTTCCTCACTCTCTCCAGGTCTTGAACCATGAATTGCAGGGCCACAGACACTAACTAAACATGCTCCAACTTCTCTTGCAACCGCTTTTACCAGGAGGGTCTTCCCAACACCAGGAGGTCCAACCAATAGTAGTCCCCTTGGACAAGAGAAGCCTAATTTAGACATGGTCTCCGGATAGTGCAAAGGTAAATTGATCATTTCTTTAAGTGAGGCACATATGTCATTAATTCCTGCCACTTGGCACTGAGGGTTATCCTGTAATGTATGCTGGTACCACTCTAAAGTGGTGATCTCTTTTATGTGTATACTTGTTTTTGCAGTTATAAGGCCAGCACCATCATCTAAAAGGTCAGTGTCAAGTACCACTATATTCACAACAGAAGAATCTCCATTAATGGTTAACATGTAACGAGGTAACACATATATATTTCTTAATAGATCCTTCACTAGATCATAAATAGTTGCTCCACTGGTTGCTAGTTTGACTTCCAAGTTCTTTAATATAACTTTTACTGTAACCTTTCTTAATTTGACAGATGTTAAACTTTTGAGCTGGTTTAACGTTATGGTTGTATTTTTTAATGGAGTCAATGGTTTGTGTGAAGAACAACACATGAAATCAATCTGAAGGAGCCCATCGCATAAATCCTTCCTGGGCCAGGCTGTGCAGAGGCAGGTGCCACTTGGCAAAGACATTAGAACTGGGCGTCCTAGTTTTACTCCAAGCAGAGACATTGCCTTGGGTCCTAATCTGCATCTTTGTGTTCCTTGGTCTTCTGGATTGGAAGGCAAAAGTTTAAGCACGATATCCATCTGTAATAAATAAAATGTGATTAATAATAAAATTGCAAGTGCATGAAATGCTACAATTTAGTGAATAACTCTGAAAATGCTACTATTAATCAACTATAATTTGGCGTGTAGTGAATAAACCTTAGAATAATTTACCGAATGTTAACAAATTGTTTGAAACCAGGAAAAAAAAAAAAACTGTATAGACTGTGGATTGCCATATATATATATATATATATATATATATATATATATGTGTGAGTCCTTAAATATAATTCACATCAGTTGGTTTTCAATGGTTTCAGTTATGAGACAAAATAATGTAAACCTTGCTAACTCATGTGTTTTTTACCATGTCTATATAACTGGGTTAAAAATCAATTGGGCCACAGATGTCAGTGTGGATACACACATATAAGGTGCTAGTCCTCTTTTAGAATCTTTGTCTTCTGCCAGGTTCAACTGTTATTTTTATGGTAAACAATCTTGGTGCTCTCCGAGCCAAGAATGGCCCTGCGATATTTTACTGTACATTGCGGTATGTAGGGCTGACCTGCTACCAGACTATAATGAGTATGTATGATGAGTAAGTGTGTGTAAGGAGCTGAGGGCGAGACGAGATATTTGTGCCAGTCGAGGTATGAGAAACAGAGACTGCATCACAGATTTATATAAACCTGCTTTGCAGGTTATACTGATGGACACTGCAAGAATTTATGAGGTGACACCTTGCAACTTCAGCCATATATTATCTGCACAGCGTAAGTAGGACCATCCTCCCAGAGACTTGTGAGCCTAATGGGCGCAAAGGCAATGTCCATTGTCTGTTCTTGGTTACCATGCCAAAAGTTGAGATTTTATTTACCATAAAAAAAAAACAACAACACTGGCCCGGACTGAAAACATGTGGTTTTTACGAAGAGGCTTAATTCCTATCTATATGCTATATAAACAATGAAATGGACTTTTAACCATTTAAAATACCAGCTCACACCCTATATACACTATTTGATTAACTGTATGTGGACAATCCTACTCGTCGGATTCAGGTGTTTTATTATCATCTGTTGCTAAGCGTGTATAAAGTCCAGCACAAAGCCATGTAAACTCCATACACAAAACACTGGAGCAGTTCAATTGGTCTTATTTAAAGGCTCAATGACTTTAACCCCTTAAAGACCAAACTTCTGGAATAAAAGGGAATCATGACATGTCACACGTCATGTTTCCTTAAGGGGTTAAACATGGCAGTGTCATGGGATCTCAGTTTGTGAAATTTCTGCCCTGCTATTAGTAGTAGTATTGGCAGTGATATATATCACCAACATATACTGCAGCACTTTACTATATTATAAAGGGGAAATTTAACAACAAATGAGGCAATTACATTTTACAGGAACAATGGGTTGAGGAGGACCTTGCTCGAAGGAGCTAACAGTCTAGAGCCTACACATGCCCATGTAAACTGTAAAGTGCTATTTTGCTGTTATTCACAAGTGGTAGGGTCTAGCAGCACAGCCCAGCTATGCACAAAGTAATGGTGCTTAAAGGGATTCTATAGTGCCTGGAAAACAAAGCTGTTTTCCTGGCACTATAATATACCACAGTGCCCTACCTCCACCTCCCTCCCCCGGTGCTGAAGGGGTTAAAACCCCTTCAGTCTCTTACCTGAATCTAGGGTCGATGCCCCTCAGTGCTGGGTTAGGCTCCGCCCACACTCCTCCCCCACCGATGTCAACCAACAGGGGAGACCTAATGCACATGTGCGGCAATGGGCATGTTTTCATTAGGATTTCCCGTATAGGAAACCATTATTCAATGCTTTCCTAAGGGGAAAAAAAACAAAACCAGATGCTGGAGATCCTCATGCAGAGTGTGAGGACGTCCAGTGTCAGATACTGGACCAAAGGTCCATTTCAAACCAGGGAGCCCTCTATAGGCGGTCTGGTAGACAGCTGCTAGAGGAGGAGTGTAACGGAACTCCCCGTATTCCGACCGAGTACCTTCCATTGATGGACGCTTCCTAGCCTGCGCCAAGAACCACAAGCACCGCACTGGACACCACAACCATCGCAGACTCCACAACCGCCGTAGCTTAACTGGAGTCTCGCTGTCTTCTGTCCACCCTGGATCAGCTTCTGTCCTCCAGGACCATGTGGGGAAGACCTCTCATCCAGGAGAGCGTATCAGGAACAAGCTCTTAAAAGAGCTAAGTGATTAAAGCTCAAGGGAGTATGCAGAGCATAGCAATCCCCAGTATGATTATAGCAGTTCCCTCCAATAACGAGACGAGGCTAAGTTTTGAAGGGTAAAGAAGAACTGACTGTACTGGCACATACAGCCTCTTTTATTCACATTCTACAAACATAGTACTGCCCACAGGGTTTTGAAGAACAACCAATCAACACATTACAACACAGCTAACACTCCCATTCATTACATCAGAAATCCTCCCCTCTGCCTGTGATACAATTATCTCAACCCAATAGACTAACTTAATTATCACAGGCAGAAAAATACAGTATTATTAAACATATCACATGGACCCCAAAACATGCAATAACCACATAAAATATATATCATCGGAACCGGGGGATCTGGGTGAACCATATATCCAAAATTCACCAAGATCCGTTCAGTAGTTTGGAAGATACGGTTTAATGCAGATTCCGCAGAATATATACAGGCTATATGAAAAATAATTACTGTTAAATATGTACCTTGTTCTGTAGTTTAAAACTACTGAACGATGTCTTTGTGCACCAAATACCGGCGAGATGGCACTGTGTAGAAAAGTCAAAACAGTGTCTGTGAGTTAAAATGGCTGCCATCCATTGTTCTCACCATGTGCTTCATCCATTGTTCTCACATGTGCCTCTGATACATGAAATGGTGGCCACCCAGTAACTCCACAGTATGTCCCTAGATGGTTCTTAAAGGGCCAGAAGCAGCATAATAAAATACAGTATGCCCAAATCAGTTCCTTAAAGGGCAATATATCCCAGGGCCATAGTCGCAGGGCAGGAGGCTGGCAAACAGGCCCCTCCAAAAACCAGTGGCGAGGTCAATTTAGCCACAAGGAGTTAACCATGGATAGTAATTATTGCAGTTTCTCAATAACTGCAATAATTAATATTGCAGGGTTAAGGGATATGGCACCCAGACCACTTCAATGAGCTGAAGTGGTCTGGGTGCCTACAGTGTCCGTATCGTCTGTTGCAACACTCACTACAGAGTTCCAAACGGCATCTGGAAACATAATCAGCGTAAGCATGATGGTGTGTCAGGGTCTTCAGGAAAAGGGTTTCCATGAACAAACAACTGTACACAATCCTCACATCAACAAGCACAATGCCAGGCATCAGTTGAAATGGTGTAAAGCACGTCATCACTGGACTCTGGCACAGTGGGAACATGCACTCTGGAATGATGATCACACTTCATTACTCGGCTGTCTAATGGAAGAATCTGGGTGTAGCGCATGCCAAGAGAACGTTAACTATTGGAATGCATAGTGCCTACAGTAAAGCTCCTAGCAGTACCTCCCTGGTTCTCAGACTAAAAATGAAAGAGGAAGAAGTGGCGTCCAATAGATCCCAAGCTAAAAAGTCAAACTATCAGATTTGACACTCTTATAAATCCCTGCTGAGAAAAGTCAAAACAGTGTCTGTGAGTTAAAATGGCTGCCATCCATTGTTCTCACCATGTGCTTCATCCATTGTTCTCACATGTGCCTCTGATACATGAAATGGTGGCCACCCAGTAACTCCTGCTGAGCCTGCTGTCATTCAGAGAGCCCAGGGGGTTTCCTCCGCAAGCTCCACAGTGCCTTCGTCACATCTCAACACACTGTACGATAGCTCATTGAGAGTAACATATAGGCACTGGAATAATCTGAGTCTATAATGATGATTGGTGCTCGCAGCACCTGCTGTGCTTGTGCAGTAGGATCCCAATGGAGAAGCATTGAATTGGCTGACACCATCAGTAATGATGATCTCTGTCTGGGTGAGAAAGGAGCTGCAGCGAGACTGGCACAACATGGAACTAACGTTAAAGGAACACAAACCTGTATTTCTGACTCTATAGCTTTAAAACCATTTAGTTGCCCACCCTTAAAAGATTATAAAACTTACCTTTTTTCCCAGTGACGAGGGAGGCTGCCCCCCAAACTGCCTCCTTGCTACAATCATCAGAATTTATGATTTCTAGCCAATCCAATGCTTTTTGCATAGGGAAAGCATTGGATTGGCTGACATCAACAGAAGCGGGATGGGGGTGAGGCCAATCAGCACGTCCTCATAGAGATGCATTATATCAACGCATCTCTATGTTGAAAGTTCAGTGTCTTCATGCAGAGGGTGGAGACACTGAATGGCAGCACTGCCCCAGGAAGCACCTCTAGCAGCCTCTAGGAGTGGCCAGTGGAGGTATCCTTAGGCTGTCATGTACACTCTGCATTTACTCTGAAAACATTGTTACTGCAAAATAACCTGCCAAGTTAGAAACCAATAAGAGCCAGTCAATGTCTGGGTATTAACTGTGCAGGATTGCCGGTTGTGTGCTAAGTGTAATTACTGTGTAGGATGCCCATGTCGGTAGTGTACTCAGTGTAATTACTGTGTAGGATGCCCATGCCGGTAGTGTACTCAGTGTAATTACTGTGTAGGATGCCCATGCCAGTAGTGTACTCAGTGTAGTTACTGTAGTGGGAGCCCATGTCAGTAGTGTACTCAGTGTAGTTACTGTGGTGGAGCCCATGCCGGTAGTGTACTCAGTGTAGTTACTGTAGTGGGAGCCCATGCCGGTAGTGTACTCAGTGTAGTTACTGTAGTGGGAGCCCATGCCGGTAGTGTACTCAGTGTAGTTACTGTGGTGGGAGCCCATGCCGGTAGTGTACTCAGTGTAGTTACTGTGGTGGGAGCCCATGCCGGTAGTGTACGCAATGTAGTTACTGTGGTGGGAGCCCATGCCGGTAGTGTACTCAGGGCAGTTACTGTGGTGGAGCCCATGCCGGTAGTGTAGTTACTGTGGTGGGAGCCCATGCCGGTAGTGTACTCAGTGTAGTTACTGTGGTGGAGCCCATGCCGGTAGTGTACTCAGGGCAGTTACTGTGGTGGGAGCCCATGCCAGTAGTGTACTCAGTGTAGTTACTGTGGTGGAGCCCATGCCGGTAGTGTACTCAGTGTAGTTACTGTAGTGGGAGCCCATGCCGGTAGTGTACTCAGTGTAGTTACTGTAGTGGGAGCCCATGCCGGTAGTGTAGTTACTGTGGTGGAGCCCATGCCGGTAGTGTACGCAGTGTAGTTACTGTGGTGGAACCCATGCCAGTAGTGTACTCAGTGTAGTTACTGTGGTGGGAGCACATGCCGGTAGTGTACTCAGTGTAGTTACTGTGGTGGTGCCCATGCCAGTAGTGTACTCAGTGTAGTTACTGTGTAGGATGCCCATGCCGGTAGTGTAGTTACTGTGGTGGAGCCCATGCCAGTAGTGTACTCAGTGTAGTTACTGTGGTGGGAGCCCATGCCGGTAGTGTACTCAGTGTAGTTACTGTGTAGGATGCCCATGCCGGTAGTGTACTCAGTGTAGTTACTGTGTAGGATGCCCATGCCGGTAGTGTACTCAGTGTAGTTACTGTGGTGGGAGCCCATGCCTGTAGTGTACTCAGTGCATTTACTGTGGTGGGAGCCCATGCCGGTAGTGTACTCAGTGCAGTTACTGTGGTGGGAGCCCATGCCGGTAGTGTACTCAGTGTAGTTACTGTGGTGGAGCCCATGCCGGTAGTGTACTCAGTGCAGTTACTGTGGTGGAAGCCCATGCCGGTAGTGTACTCAGTGCAGTTACTGTGGTGGAGCCCATGCCGGTAGTGTACTCAGTGCAGTTACTGTGGTGGAGCCCATGCTGGTAGTGTACTCCATGTAGTTACTGTGGTGGGAGCCCATGCCGGTAGTGTACTCAGTGCAGTTACTGTGGTGGAGCCCATGCCGGTAGTGTACTCAGTGTAGTTACTGTGGTGGTGCCCATGCCGGTAGTGTACTCAGTGTAGTTACTGTGTAGGATGCCCATGCCGGTAGTGTAGTTACTGTGGTGGAGCCCATGCCAGTAGTGTACTCAGTGTAGTTACTGTGGTGGAGCCCATGCCGGTAGTGTACTCAGTGTAGTTACTGTGTAGGATGCCCATGCCGGTAGTGTAGTTACTGTGGTGGAGCCCATGCCGGTAGTGTACTCAGTGTAGTTACTGTGGAGGAGCCCATGCCGGTAGTGTACTCAGTGCAGTTACTGTGGTGGGAGCCCATGCCGGTAGTGTACTCAGTGTAGTTACTGTGTAGGATGCCCATGCCGGTAGTGTACTCAGTGTAGTTACTGTGGTGGGAGCCCATGCCGGTAGTGTACGCAATGTAGTTACTGTGGTGGGAGCCCATGCCGGTAGTGTACTCAGGGCAGTTACTGTGGTGGAGCCCATGCCGGTAGTGTAGTTACTGTGGTGGGAGCCCATGCCGGTAGTGTACTCAGTGTAGTTACTGTGGTGGAGCCCATGCCGGTAGTGTACTCAGGGTAGTTACTGTGGTGGGAGCCCATGCCGGTAGTGTACTCAGTGTAGTTACTGTGGTGGAGCCCATGCCGGTAGTGTACTCAGTGTAGTTACTGTAGTGGGAGCCCATGCCGGTAGTGTACTCAGTGTAGTTACTGTAGTGGGAGCCCATGCCGGTAGTGTAGTTACTGTGGTGGAGCCCATGCCG